TTAGTTATTAAACTGTTCTTATCTCAACATGTGAGTCTCTTTTCCCTTTACCCCTTTAGTTCTCTCCCCCATCCCTAGGAGGCGGGAGGGTGAGCGAGTGGCTGTGTGGTGCTGAGGCCTGGATGGGGTTAAGCCATGACAGTGATAAAGGAGCAGTGCACTGGTGCTGTATAAGGCTTCCCTGGCAAGATCTGGATGCCTGTGTCTAGTAAGGCTTCTGCTGTCAGCCTTAGGTGCTGTCCTGTCATCCCTGTTTTGGAAAATTAAAGGGTTATTTATGCATTATGCATCCTAAAATAGATTTGGGTATGGGTTTGGGTGTTGGAATGTGATATATTGCACAGAAGTTGGGTTGGTTCCCGGTTTGAAATGTAGGATAACTAAATAAATAAAAGTAGGATAACTAAGTGCCATTTCTGAATGAAATACGATAATTCGTTCCTGTGTGATCTGATCTAGGTGTCCTGCTCCGGCAGGGGGATTGGACTAGATGATCTTTCGAGGTCCCTTCCAATCTCTAACATTCTGTGATTCTGTAATTAAAATTTGTAGCCATTAGTATGTGGCAAGCTTGTTCTTCCTATGTTTTCTAACCTGTAACCCAGCTACTTAGTGATCTGGCCCATTACTTCGCAACAAAAATGTCTGTTCTCCTCACTTGGTTGAGAAATCCATCTAGATGAGAGGAGTTACTGCTTTGTAGTCCTGTTCTTCCTCCTTGGAGCATTGTGTAACACTGGCTTGCTGTAGTGGTGACAAGTCTTTGTCCATATTCTAAATGGAGTTATGGGAAGCCTGCCTGTGGAGACAGTCAGTATGAAAGTCGGCAGTGTGTTTTTCTAATTCTTTGAGTCTCCCAACAGAATCCCAAGGAGAGTCCCTAGTAAGTGGTTTACAATTTTTTTTCATTCACAGTCGAACGCAAGAAAAAATATCCTGTATTACTTTAGATACAAGTATTTGCATCTGCTTACTTACAGCTTAATGACTTGATTGAAACTGCAGCAAGAGAAAGTAATGGATTTTTCAAATAGAAGCAAGGGGGTGTGCAAATGGTTGACGCCTGCAGCAACAGTCTTGCTAGAGTGTGTTTAGTAGCCATAAGCCTCCAACTGTGGGAATCTGGTTTGTTGTGGGCTTTGGCCACAATAAATTTATTATTTCCAGATGATAAATTGAATTTAGATCATATAGTGACACTGGAAGATGTTGACTGAGATTGGGTCTGCAAGAGGTAAGAAGCCTCTTAATCCTCTTCACTGCCTCCTTTGTGAAAATTGGTTCATGTTTTCCTGTGGAGGCAGTGATGCCTTCCCACTGGCATTTCTTGACCTCATAACATCCACCAGAGAAAGCAGGAGGACCTGATGAAACAGCTGAACAGACTTAGCCAGAAGACTGCCAGTTCAGGAATCTGTCAGTTTGGCGTGTGTGGCTGCATTTCACAAACATTTATCATACCAGTGCAAGGAACATCATTTTCCTAAAAATGTAAATAAACTATAATGGAAAATGCAACATTTGGGGAGGGTATGAGCGAGGTCTTTATGATCAGTCATACACGGTAAATTTATTACTTTAACTATAGAAAGGTTGAAAAACGTGCTTTGTGACGATGTGAGAGGAGTTTTCTGTGCTCATAAAGAGTACAGTACTGCTTATTTACAGTTTTTCTAAATATAATTCTGTTACTTCGTCATTTAGCTTATTTTAGCAAAGAAAGGTAATTTTTTTTTTCAGTTATTCTGACTCTGTTCTGTCATGGTGGTGACAAAACTTGAGTTCTTGCATGTGGGAGTGATCACTGCTTATGGAGGATATGGCTAAGTTGAAGGAGAAAGTGCTGCTCAAGTAACTTTAATAGTATGTGTTGTCTGAAAAAAGGTTGAACGTGCTGGGAATGCAAATGACAATAGAGAGCCACTAAACCAGATGGTCAAAATGCCTTCGTAAATTGATTAAATAGTTATGAATATCTCTTTTCTTTCACACCGTCCAGATATGCCAGATGATCCTTAGTCCATGTAGAACACTTAACTGCAACGGTTGATCCATATGTAGGGTTCTGATTTGTGCGAATTAATAGGTATAGTCATTAATATCAGTGTATCTTCAAAAGCCCTTGAAAAGTTGACATAGTACTTCAACCCCCAAAGTGTGTGCATAACGTCAAGTAGGTGAGCTGTTCTGCTGAACTGAGGACTGAATTAATTTTGCCTGCTCAGAATGGGAGAGCTGTGGTTTTTGAGGACAAGCTCTGGAATAACAGAGTGGACAGTGAGGTTTGCTATTAGAGAGCAGGATTGCTCTTAAAAACTGCTGGAGATATTAGTCTCATACATTTAATAGAGCTGGACTATCAGAGGAAGGTTTATGCACTTTTTTATTAACATCCTTGGAAGAATTTGTTATTAATAAATTCAAATGCCTCACTGCATATAGTGTGTCTTCTACAAAACTTACAGATAACCCTGTGTTTTCACAGATTCTTTACATGGGACAATGGATGGAGTATTTCTCTTTGAAGATGTTGCTGTGGAAGACGGTAAAACCATGCAGGGCTATGATGCAATTGTTGTAGAGCAGTGGACTGTCCTGAAGGTGCGTGTGTGGTTTTTCTTTGAATTTTTGTAAATCAAAACACTCCAAGACTGTGAGGCAGACTCTCATATACTAATCTGTGCTTCAGCAGTACCATACAGGCAAACTGAGGTAAAGGGATGCAACATAACAGTAGTACCAGTTAACCACACTCTAGGTTTGTACGATGCACTTTTGATTTTGATTATCTCTGTGCTTTATGTTGGGTGGGAGGGGAGCAGAATGTGAGTGATGGTGAGCAATGAAACTCAGGGCTGTCTGTCCCAAAAATACAGATGTCTGCTAGATTAACTGTAAAGAGGATCTCCATTGGTTGTCAGGGCAACATGATCATACAAGTCACTGTAGCATCGCAGTTCTAAATAAGGCTGCCCTTTAGGTAGGCTTAGCTGCAGTAGGAATGCACAGATAACTGCATTTGCTTCTGTCTGACCTCCTTCATGTGCTGAAAGAGCTGTATGTTCTGGATAGCTCCCTATAAACAAACACGTGTGTCATAGATTGGCTTTTTACTGATCCAAATGCATACTTGGATCAGCACGAATACTGTTTAGAACAGATCAGTCAGTACCAGTCTTCCACAGCAAATTTTATACGTACATAGGTATTTGGAAGGCTGGGGTGGAAATTCTTTGTGACTTGAAGTAAGAAGATCAGGGAAGAAAAGAAGATACTGTTGTGCAACTCTTGGATTTTTTTTTGTTTGTTTGTTTTATTTGATTACTCTGGCCTGCCAGAAATAGATGTTATGTATCCATAAAGGCAGTGCTTGATCTTTTCACTTGGAGTATATTGTAAATGGTATAAAATCCTAAGAAGGACTTAAGCAAGGTGCACACATGCTGAAACTATGCATTAAGGGAAGATGGGACAGATGCTAGACTAAATGTGTAAAATTACGGAAGACTAGGGTTAAGGGTTTGGTTATTAGATGATGACTTTGTAGCAAGAAATGGCCATATCATAACGGCTAGAAACTTCTTGAAGAACAGTGTAGTGTGTTAATGGCAGATTTTCTTGTGCTAATGTGCATCTGAACAAACGATTCCTATATTACATTTAATGTTATTCCAGTTATTACAAACTTAACTGGAAGTTCTTGTTCACTTCTAGGGTCAAATTGCCGTGTTGCCACTCAGGAGCAAGGTTTTGGGATAATGACAGATGGTTCCATGAGTGCGTTAGGTCAGTGCTGATCAAGAAAGCAAATGTTAAGAAGCATTAATGTCAATCATATGTTAAAAGCTGTTAGGAAAGGAATAGAGGGTGAAACAGCAAGCATATACTACTACATACTACTGTATAAGCTGTGGTTTGACAGCACCTTGTTTCAGAACGTAATGTTAGTCCTGTAAATGTTCAGAGAAGAACAGTGAGGATGATCAGTGATACAGACAGCTTCCATATTAGGAAGCCTTTACATGGTGTGGCCTTTCAGCCTGGAAAATAGAAGAGTTGCAGGGAATGGAATAGGTAGAGGTCTCCTAAATCATGGGAGGCATGTAAATAGGGATTGACTGTTTGCCATGTCTTCCAGTATAAGAACTAAGGGTTGTCAAATGGCACTAGCGGGGGCCAGGTGCAAAACAAACAAAAAGGGGATAATTCAGCTCATTCTTTATGCAGCAGGCAGCAGATCTGTGGAACTCCTTTCTGGAGAATGCTGCAGGTTGAAGAAGTTTAGACGGGTTCAGGTGGAAGCGATGTTTCTTCCTCTACCTTACCTATGTGTTTATGCAAGCATTTTAATTCAGGAATGTGTTGCTGAAGTGAACCCCCGATCCTCCCCTCTTAATATGCCTCACATCACAGAATTGTCTCATTGCACAAACTTGATTCCTTTCACCAGAAACTAAATCAGATCTGCTGAGAGGAAGTACACAAAGTATTTGGGGCAGTTATCCTATATGCTTGCCCTGATTACCCTTCCTTAGCTGTCACTTACAGCCATGTTGGAGACGGCTTTCTGACTTAAATGGATTCTTGGTTTGAATCTGTTTGACTCTTAGACAACCAGTGAAAGTTTCTTTGTCTCAGTAGGATATTGCAACAAAGTTATGTATAATGGCCCCTACGCTCCTCTTAGTTTGCTCTGTGTGGACACAAGAAAGTTTGTCTCAAGCTGCATGACAAGGACAGCATCTGATAATGAGGATCCTGTGATGGCAGAGTGGTGACCAAAACACTAGGACACAGAAGAAGGGTATCTTCTAGCAGGGCGCCTTGAAGCATTAGAGCTCTGGTAGGTGGAGTATCATTTGCCTTCAATTCTAGCAGTTCCGTGCTGGAGACACAGCTGGTCAACAGATTAAGGAATCAACCTCCCAATGCCATCTGGTGTGTCGAGAGATGCTGTACTGCTGCACACCATGTTTGTGTGAGGGCTAACATGGAGAATCTCTTGTTCCAGACATAAGATTTGGTATGTGCAATTTCAGAAACTGACTGATAGCATACATACAGCTTCTCGGTATGATCAGATTATTCTCTGCTGTAATTTAAAAATGGATGCTGGGTTTACCCTGGCAATTTTTCTTTTCTGATATCAAGTGCCCCTCTTTTGGGGGTATTATTAATGTGTTACTCACCAACCTGAAAGTGGAATATAGAGAAGAAAAAGCCTGCTGAAGGAGGGAGGTTGAGGCATTGGGGAACTCTTCCAATGGTCTTACCCATTTAGAGGAAGGGCAGGGCTGACTAACTGTTTCCTTCTCCTGACATTTAAATAACTGCCTGGGTATTTCATGCCTCATGCTTTCTGAGACATAATAGGCATAGGTAGGTAGAGTCATCAAATGAATGAAAGAAAGACTGGAAGCCAGGGGATCTATAGGCACTTGTTCAGTGTTCTACCCAGAAGACCAAGTCACCTCTCTGCTAAACCCTGTTGGCATTCACCTTTATGTACCATAAACACAGAATAATGCAGTGGCAGAGGAAGGGACTGTAAAATGGGGGATGTAGAGGGAAGGAGATGGAGTTCAGTAGTGGCAGAAGATGTCTGAAAGCCAGTAAAGGCTTTGTTTCTGTTATGGGTACTTCAGAGTATAATTATGATAGAGATAATTATGGAGCAGTGGAATGACTCATTAATGTAGACCTTCTGATTTATTTTTTTATATATAGGTTCAGCTCTGATCTAGATTAACCTTTCCCATTTGTCATTTTTGTTTGTACCAAGGCAGTGGAAGAAGCACTGATGGGCAGCATGACATAAATGTGTATAAGGGATCCTTATTTTAAATTTGTATCAGATTTGATTAACTGGATGAGCAATGGACTTGTTCAGATGTGGTCTGAACTGAGTGTAAATTTATTGGGCTGTATCCCAATTAAGAAGAAACAAACAAAAGAATCCCAGCCACAACAAAAGAAAGCTGTTTTAAAAAGGAAGACATGTAGCATGTATTATTGCCCTTAGCATAATACAAAGAGAACCTTTCTAAATGAAAGGTAGAGTTCTGCTGTTTAACCATAAAGGCAAAAGAGAGGGGCTGGCACACATCTTAGCAGAGAAAGTGCTGCCTTTTTAATTGCTAAGGCTAATAGAGAAAACAAGCTGAACAGTGTGATGCACTCGCTATGTGTGTAAAATGTCAGTTTGTAGAGGATGTAAAGCTCCCAGCTGTCACAGTATGTGGTCCCGCCAAGCAGCAGACAGGATGTAATAGCTCTGAGTAATTTAACTCTTTCTTCTCAAAGCAGAGCTGTGGCATCCTCTGCAAATGACCACAGGACTTCTAATGACAAAATGCGGCTCTCATCCCTATCGCTTTAACTCTAAAAATGTCAGGGCACATTATTTCCACCACAGTCTCTGAGATCTAGCACCAAAACTTGTTTGATGGTTTTAATTCTGCCTGTGTAGGCAAATGTGGGTAGACAGTTCTGATTAATCAGAACCTGCATGATTTCCCTTTCCCCGACTCTAATCTGTCACCTTCTCTTCCCCATTACCCAAGACAAAATAGCTAATACTGCCTTTAAAGGTGAGTGCTATAACATTTATTTTAGATTTCTGCATTGTTCTGCTTCTGAAGCCTTGTTCATTCTGAAAATATTGTCCTTAATTTACCGGCATTTTCTCATTGAAAATCTTCAGCTGGTGATTCGTTGCTTTTTTATTTTCTGCTATGTCATGTCTTCAGTGTACTGACATGAATTAAAATCTCAACTACATCATGGTGTTGCCATTTCCCTGGCAGAATTGAATGGGGTCAGTGTCCGCTGTAGACATGGTAAACATTTTAAAGTGCAACATAACAAAAGATTTAAAAAATTCTCTCTGCTGAGCCTAGGTTGCAAGTTGCCTTAATGTAAGCCTTGAAACAAATTTCCGTGAAATGAGGATTTGATTTGTCAGTAAATGTGATTTAGGTCATATGTCAGTGAAGCTATGTTCTTCTGTCTCTAGCCATGGGAGAAAGGCACGACCATGTCAGCAAAGGAGCTGATGGCAATGGGCATGAAATGGAGTTGCGTGCATGACCCTCCTTACCACCCAAAGGACATATATGTTGCCTGGGCAGAATATTCTAACATTTTGCCTCCTGTTGCTTTTCAAGAAAAGCTGAACAAAAACTGTCAGGAGCCTGTAATCTTCAACAAGTCTTTATGGTTCTTGTTTCTTTCTTTTATGTAAATATGAAAGCCACATTTGTACGTATATATTTGTCTGCTGAACTCAGTAGACATATGCTCTGTGTAGGATTAAAATGCACAGGATAATTTTTTTGTTTTGTTGATAAATTTAGTAATAAAGTCTATCAGTACAAATTTGTAACTTTCCTGATACTTGCAGTATCGAAGGTCTGACAAAGCAAACACTTCTTCCATGTGAGTAAAGGGCAGTTGAATGAAACAGGAAAGCACAGGATTTAAAAGTCTGAATAAAAAAAAAAAATCACTTTTTGTCTGTCAGGGTTTGCTTAGATTTGTGACAAGATCAGACATAAGAATTAGTTCTCTGCTCATCCATAAAATCTTTCAGGAAAAAGTGC